CTGCTCGCCGCCGGCTGCCCGCGAGGCCTGTCCCCAGACAGAGTCGACATCATGATAAGGGGTCGGGCCGAATGTCAGAGCGCGGCGGCCGAGCCCCCGCTGCCGCGGGGCGCGAAGTCCACTGCAGCTCAACGCCCGCGTTGTCCAGGCGCTGCCTTCTCGGGGCGAGCGTCGCGCCGCCCACCTGCCCGCGGCCCCTGGAACGCCGCCTCCGGTGAGAAGAAAACGTCAAGCCCGACCGCGCCCGCATAACAGCGCGTTGCCCGGCAATCCTCTGTTTTTCGAGCTCAACAATGCGATGCCCACCCGCGTAGAAGCTCGCGACATGGGGCGGCCCAACATCCGCGCGCGGAAACATGTCCAACGCGAAGAAAGCAACGCCCTCTTTATCAATGTCATCGAGCTCCCTGCCCCGCTCTTCGGGCGGCGCCCGCGGGCGGGGCGCCGCTGCGAGCCGCCGCTCGGCGAGGCTGGCGCTCGATCCCCGGCGCGCCCTTTCTTGGCCCTTCAAGGGAAGGACCTTCGGACGGAAAACTCTGCCCGCCGCCCGCGCGCCCGAGACTAGACGGAAGAGGGGGGGGCGGGTAACTCGTCGCCAATTCGGCGCGAATTGGCTTCCGCTGCATTCTCTCTCGGGGACCGCAGGGGCGTTCGCGCCGACTCGAAACAAAATGCAAAACACCGAGCGCCTTTTCTGTGCCCAGAACCAAGGCTGCGCGAGAAAATGGCGAGGTGCCCCTCCTTGTCAGCCGTGACGGCGCACACGAAACAGGAGGTGCAGGAGCGGGCGGAGGCTCGCAAGGGCAGGGGGGCCCCCCCTACTTGCAGCGAGGTCATCGGCGGGGGCCCTGGCGTCTGCAAAGTCAGTGGCCCGTTGCCCGCCCTCGGGGTCTGAATATCCAGGCGCCCCGACTGGGCCGGCGCGCAGGAGGCGAGCACTGTCCCTGGACGGCAAGGTCGGGGCATCACCTAAAATCCCAAGTGACTTGCCCCCTGGGAGGGGTAGTCTGGCTGCTGCGCCCGTCGCAGAAGCGAGGACATCTGCGGCCTCGAGCGAGGCGTCGAAAGTAAATCTGCCCAAGAGAAGCTTGCGCGTCGCACTTGGTCACGAAATTGAACGCAGCGCAGGGGGGCGGACTTGCGACTGGCGCAGGGGGCTCGCTAGCATCAAACAACTTTCTTGCGCGAGTGGCTCCGCGCTCTGCTCTAGCAGTTGGATTGCCTTGCGGGAGGGGAATGGACAGGTGGGGCGCCCGCTGCTGGGCTTTGCCTCGCGGCCTCCTCCGGCCTCGAACGCGCAGCGCTGGCGGTTGTCCGCGCAGATGGCTGGGCTGGCTGCGGGAGGGGGGCTGGCGCTGAGATCGCTGCACGCGCGGCGCTCAAGATCGGGCCGTGGAGTGTTTCCTGCCGGCGGCCATCGGCTGAGCAGGCGGAATCTCTGCAAGCGCGAGTGGCCAAGGAGACCCCTAGGAGGGCTTCTCTAAAGCATCCTTCTGGGAGAGGGGCTCGGGAGGGGCCGCCGAGGGCGATCCAGGCGTCGCGTCTCCCATCGCTGGGGTTTGGGGCCGAGCGGGCTGAGGCGACAGAGGGGATTCCGATCCACCCCTTCCGAACAAAGAACGAACAAAAGCAACAGGCATTGACCATGCGGCGCAGCAGTTCGCTGCTCTTGCTCCCTGGGCGGCTGGATCTCTTGTCCAGGCGGCGCAGATGATGGCTGCTCCTGCTTTCTGTGAGGCGGAAACGCTTGACCATGCTGTCCAGGGCGGTCCTGCGGCAAGGGGTGCCTGCAACTGGTGGTGGCACCACTCGTGCTGCGGCTTCTGGCGGCCGTGTTTAATAATGCTGTTGATGAATCTGAGATCGGAACAACTTCGGCGATCTGACACAAGACGGCTCGTTAATTCAATTCGCCATGCCGAGCTGCAAGCCGCGCGTAGATCTGCCATTTGATCGGAGGGCACTTCTTGATGCTATGCTGACTTGGCCCCAACGGGTTGGAACTACTGGTTCGGCGGTGGCGGCGGCGGTGGCTGCCGCTGTACGGGGGCTGGCCCTCCACCGGGAGCCAAATCTGGTCCCCTAGCCACAGCCGCCCTTGCTGTTGCAAATCCTCTTTGCTGAATGTCGCCGGTCTCACTTTTGCACACTTGCGTATGGCCAAGTTCGTTGTTGGCTGCCGCTTCCTGTATTTTGAGCTCGCGAATCGCGAACACGTTCCTGGATGCCTCGAAGTCTCCCTGTGGCCTGTGGTCGCTTCTGGCTTGGGCTGGTTCTCGCCTCGCTGCTCAAAAAGGGGAAGAGTATCATGCACCATGCACTTGTGGACTGCTACCGTACAGTGATTCATTTCCGCTGGAACTAACGCCTAGGCCCTTCTGGCAGTGAGCACCAACAGGGTCAACCGCTACCGACTACTAGTATGTACTAACGATGATTCTCAGTTCTCTGGAGGCGGACGGTAACACTGTTCAAGAGTAGCCTCCTCTTCCGTCATGGG